ATATAAATGGACTGGGGGAAAAGACAAATGGGAGAAAGGGATGATGATAATGGGGGGGGGGGAAACGTTTAAGCAGAAGAAGATGTAGGTACACGAAGAGATGACAGAGAGTAGAATGGAAGATAGTAGTAGTAGTAGTAGTAGTAGTAGTAGTAGTAGTAGTAGTAGTAGTAGTAGTAGTAGTAGTAGTAGTAGTAGTAGTAGTATGTTGTTATAGTCGTCACTGAACAAATACGTTCATGAACACCCAGGCTAATGAGCATTACTCAGGCTTTGGATAACTTCCATGCTCGATATTGAAGAAAAAGTTTTCCGGCTCCCTCTTTCAAACACACATATACGAGGGTCATACTGAAAGTCATGAGCAACAAATTTTTGTAAAGTAACATGCTTTATTATTGACAAACCAAATGCACCACCTCAGTCTACAGACCTTTCTTTATTTTTTTTCCACATAATCGCCACTTCTTTGTACATATTTCTCCCAGCGTTTTGGGAGCTTGAAAATTCCCCTTTTGAAAAATTCCGTTCCAGCCATCCGAAAACACTGACGCACTGCTTTCTGAATTGCCCCCTTGTCTCAAAACGTTGTCCACGCAGCTGATCCTTCACAAATCCGAAAAGATGGTAGTCGGAGGGTGCCAGATCAGGCTATAGGGGGTGTGTGGAAGAACTTCCCACCCCATCTTTGCAATTGCTTCCAATGTGAGGCGAGCGGCGTGGGGGCGAGCGTTGTCATGCAGGATGATGATGTTTCGTCCCGGACGTTTATCACGACGGAGCTTGTGCAGCTTCTGTACATAACGAGCAGCATTGATGGTTTGCCCAGGTTCCAGGAATTCAGCCAGAATAAACCCCTCTGCATCCCAGAAGACTGTGCCCATCACCTTCGCAGCTGATAACACTGTCTTTAGCTTCTTGATGGAGAATGCAAATGGTGCCTTTCCATACTTGGTGCCTTTCCATACTCTGCCGTTTCGTTATAAACTACTGAATTGCTCACAATGTGCATTTTGCTCGGCTTATTCGACCCTGGAAATGGAGGCGATATGTTCCTCCGAAACGTCGGCTGACTTCTTTCTTATTTCCATATATCATAGGGTTGAATGATAGGATGACTTAATAAGCACTGAATTGGAAATAATTTGGAATGGCCTCTTTCAAGGTACTATTCAGATGTTCGCCTTAAAGGGGCTGAGTAAAACCATGGAAACCTCAGGATAGTCGGTGTTCCGGCCGGTATTGGAGCCGAACGCTTCCAGAATACAAGACAGTAACGATACTGCTCAACTAAATTGTTCGGTTTACCGCCAGTCATAAAATAACTCTGACTCTGACTCTGACTCTATTCAGTTGTTTGTCAGTTCAGTACGGGAATCTGTGAAGAGAGGATTGGAGCTGGAGGCAGAGGAATAGGCATTGTAGGAAGCCGTTACCAGGAAACGTCTAGTAACAGACTGAGAACACTACACTGTGTGTTCTAGGGAACTGTAAAGTGTGGAATTAGCAATAGCGGATAAGAGAAAAAAAATTTTACCCCTGCCGGGAATCGAAACAAGATTCCTGTCGTCCAGCCCATAGCCCAGTCGCCGTGTTCCACTGAGCTATCCCAGCTCTCTCTTAAAATAATTAAGTTAATATTTACCATCGATCGTTAAGAGTCAAAATTTCGAGCCACCTGAAACTTAAGAGCGTGACGTAAGCCCGAAAATTCGGAGCGTTAGTCTGATGGTCGGTAATTAAATGGGGTCCTAAATGTAAGTCGAGGTAGGAGTGTGTAGTGTAGCTACTGGCAGCGTCCTAAAAATAACGTCCCCTCCCTCCGAATAAAAAGTATTCATTAGTCCACTCGCGAGAGAAGGCTGGGGTTTACTTCGAAAGGTGCAGTTAGTGCAGACCGGCAGATATGTTGATGGCCGTGGAGGCGAGGCAAGGAAGGAGTGGGTCCACTACAGTACAGTGTACAGTGAGTGACTGAGCGAGTCATTCAGTTCTGTGGTGATGGCCGGCAAGTGAGCAACGGCCTTGCTGTGTATGTCCGTGAGTTCCTGTCTTCATTAGTGCTCGCGAGAGGTGTTCGAGTTTGGTGGAAGGAAGATTGCTTTTGTGTGTGTTATTTATCTGATGTGTGAATTAGTGAATCATTTATATATAAGTTTGTGCTACTGATATATAACTCATGTATTGTAATTAATATTGACAAAAGAATCCTTTAAATTAATCAGAATATTTAAGTGGACTCTGTAATTCGAGCCAGATTAGTTTCTTTTGGATACAAATAATTTATTCGTGATTAAAATAATCGGTTTGTTAATATATAAATTTATATAAGTCGTCTAAAATTTCCTCTGGATATGTAAAATGTTTTCGCGGTGTTTTCTACTTGTTCGCGTCAATGCGTTAATTGGGGAGGGTGGTGCATTTCTTAATGGCTTCGTCATTTGTTAACCGTGTTTCTCTCGAGTCACATTTGGTGAGACATAGCAGACTCGGCGTCTATTTACGTAATCGACACGACATATTCCACGGATTAAGTCTTATTAATATTATGTCGGCGTGTTTGGGCTTACGTACTAAAGTAGGAACTAGTTCAAGACTCACATGCAGTTGCTTTTCCGATGGTGATCGCAAATTAAATGGAGCCCTTCCGTTTCTTGTGGCGGTGGGCTACACTGCCCCGTAGCTGGATTACGTACGGTCGAATAATAAAACGATAGAAGACTGTCGAATTGGAAAGGGTTTGAAAGGAAGCGTTCTTTGCCTCATAGGGATAGTACCTAGGAATGTACTTAGAGGGACTGGGGAAAACTACGAAACTCGTCAGTTAATATAATGGTGTCCCGGAGAGTGTTTTACTAGTACAAATATATTTATAATAATTATATATAAGGGCATTGTTTTGCGGTGAGGAGTTCTTAGCCCCACGCTTAACCCCAAAGCTGGAGGATCATCCCCTTATCGGCTGTCCGCGACTGCTTATTCAGTATTCGTAGTTACCCTCCATATCTGGAGTCCGTCTCGTCCAGCCTCAACCTGAGGACGCGCCGCGTGCCGCTGCACAACTGGCGGCTTCTCAAGAAGGGCTCGGCTCCATGAAGTTGGTTGGTTAGATTAAAGAGCCTGACAGTAGAGTGATCAGCAATTGAACGCGTTCGGTCGCAGTTCCAGATCGAGAGGGAAACGTCGCGAAGCCCGTGATAAGCAGTACGCTTTCCGCCCTTTATGGAACCCGAATATTCATTACTTTCTTCACCATAGCCTCCTAAGTCCAAGCCAATGTGCATGCTTCATAGAAATGCAGATATACATACAGTTTTCTGGTTCGTGACTTGAGTATTCCAGGGCGTTAAATGGGGACTGTTCGTCTGTTTCACACATGTCTTTACGGTACGCATGAGCGGCACAGAGCCACAGAAGCAACCAGGTAAAAGTGAAGTTGTTCCTATGCTTAATTAAGCACCACACCATGAAGGCGTACGAGGGAGTGAGGGTATAGCTCCACCATTCTTGGACCCCGGCACTGAATAGAGGTGAATGGTTAGCTTCACGCCCCTGCCGCTTTATCCCCGGGGAAAGCGCCCCTGGTACCCATTGGATTAGAGGCTCCGAATCAGCTCTATAGAAAGAGGTTTTTGTCGGGTTAATAATCGTAGTAGTTATGCTCTGGACTTAAACCGAATTGAGAACTTTGTGTGTGTATGTGTGTGTGTGAGCGAGAGAGAGAGAAAGAGAGACAGATTAATATTTTTTAGTCAGCAAGAATTAATTAGACTCTCCACTTTAACATGATGAAATGTTGATTCTAAAACTTCTTTTATGTGTGAATGCATTAGATGGTTGTTTCTTTATATTCTGAATGTAACGTGGGAGAAGGCGCCACTTGGTCTTATATTGGGGAATAATATTAAATCGGATCTTAAAGAAATGTAGAACGAAGGTATTGATTGTATCCAGTTGGCTCAGGATAGGGGTCATTGGTGTGTTCTTTTGAACATAGTACTGAATCTTTGGGTTGCATAACAGGCAGCTTCTCAAGAAGGACTCTTTGTTACGTTTAGTTACGATGGTAGTTGCTGACTTCGGTAATTAGTTAATTTTTAGTGAAATTTGAAGTAAATTCCTTGTTCAAGTTGACAGAATATGGAAATTTTATCAATGTTTTGCCGTTCCGTATCAGGCAAAATCAATTAATTTTCCGTACATTTTAAGTACTGATCGTATTTACGGATGCTGTTCACACTTCTTACATTTTGGCAGAGGTCCATTTTGATTCTTAGTTATGATCTGAGAAGTCAGGGTTCCTAGTTTCACAGAATAAAAATTTCTTGTAGGAAGAAATTTCTGTCTACACAGTAAAATGAAAAATACATAATTTTATATTACAGTAACACAGTGCGCCGATTGACGTAGTGTTAATCCTGCCGGTAGGGGGGAATCTGCCAACAATACAAGGTCTCTCTGTCGTCATGTGTCGCCATTCTCGTGAAATATGCTTGTTTAGAGCTTGAAACCTGTGTTATGTGTTTAATATTGAACGTTATGATTGAATTATGCGTACTTGGAGCTCCTGATCTTTAGTAACTGATTATGCCTGTGTATCTGCTAGCATCAGAGAACGTTGTGAACGTCAGACAATGATAAATCAAGGATATAGGAATCTGATTTCCTTGTATGCCTTCAGCTTAGCTTTCAAGCAACTAATAACGGAAATTCTCACAGATGCATGAACATCAGTTGGTGTGCTGTGCTAAACTGAGACCTTTATAACCTGGGAACCATATGATCCGTCGGTGTTTGTCGCCATGACATTTGCAGGACTGCCAGTATTAGAAACAGTAATTGACTTTTCTTCTATCACTGTGGTTTGTTTGAAGACAGAATACGTTTTTCACATTAGACAGTGATCGAAGAGGGTAACATCCCCAATGCCGGTTCCAGGGGCAGTTTGCCCTACACTCTCTGGAGTACTATGTTCTTATTTCATCCTGTTTGCATTGAAGGGGGCGTTGCAAGAACTGAAGGTGTATGGAACCCCGTACCTTGCGGAGGTTCAGTGCGACAACGCGTTCCAGGTAAGAGCAAAACTTATATTAATGTTGTGCTGTAATTAAGTTAATTCTGTGACTTTTGTGTAATTCTAGGCTTTGTTTTGTGTTCAGAGTCTTATGTTATTTGGTTTCTTATGCGTTTTGTTATGTCCGTATTAACGGATAGCCCAGGTAACTTCAAAATTTACAGCCATCTTGCCTTCCACATTACCGTTGCCAACCTAACAAGTTTATTTTAAACCCAAAACCTAACTACAGAAAGAATTTACTTATTGATTCGTTTAAATACGTACATAAAAGCCTATAAATTATAAAAAACGGAATCCAGAGTCGTAACGAAACCAGAAACCCCAGTATTTTTAAAAAACAGAACCGAAGTCTGACTTGGTTCATTCTGGCCCCCCAAACTGTAATAGTATAAGAGGAAGAATTATAAAAGACAGGAACCAAACTGGTTCTAGATTTTAATAAAACGTTTCTTAAACCATATTTTTAAATAGACAAATTATAATAATTTATAAATGCTTTAACAAATTCATGCACTTCGCAGTAATTGTTAAAGGATAATATTTTTTATTGATGACATTGCAATAGTAGTTTCCGAATGTATTGATAATGCCCTGAAGATGTTCGCTCCGACCGAAACATATGAAGGATGAAAGATTAAAGAAACACAACATTTATCACTTATATTTGACTGCGTTGAGGCTCTTGTAGAACCGAAGCCCTTACCTTTTAGACCACCAGATCTAAAGCCTAACATTTTGGGCTCACTGTTGGAGACAAATTTGAAATATGCTTTGGGTTTTGTGTTTACAAATAAACTTCAACGGCTGGCAACACCGACTTGAAGCCACACTGTGATGTGTAAGCACCCACATTTGTTACACTTAATTCTGAGACCTTTTGTATGAGTCTAGACTCTGTTTTGTGATCTCGTGACATTTTATTTTGTGTTGTCCAATTTCTTATGAGTGTTGTTAAACTAGGTACAAAATCAAAGTCCAGATTTGACTCTCTTGTAAATGGAGATTGTACATACGAGTTACTGTTCATTCAGCCAGCGCGTCTCTTCATTGCATATTAATGTGTGTACTTAAACTCGAATGAGTGCCTTCTTTTGCTCTTGGCCGTTATAACACTCCTTTATCAGTGCTAACAGCTTGCACTACCAGAAGCAGAGCTGGGGAAGTCTGCTTAATTGTGAACCAGAACTTCTTTCTCTGCAACACATTCTTAATCCTTTTCGGTACGTTGGGTTCTATGCGTACCGCCTGCTTTGGGATTAAAATCCTTTGCATTCTATTCGCAGTTTCTTGTTTCGTTTGAGTCATAAAATAAGTAGCAAGCGACTGTTTCCCTAAACAGCATTAACCGGTTGGGCTTTGTAGCGGAGACGTAATGTGTTTCCTGTGAGGTACGGACTGGGTTTTCTGCCCAAAGAGTGTATTTGTGTGTTCCGTATGGTTGTCACAATAAACAGCGACTGTTTCCCTAAACAGCATTAACCGGTTGGGCTTTGTAGCGGAGACGTAATGTGTTTCCTGTGAGGTACGGACTGAGTTTTCTGCCAACAGAGTGTATTTGTGTGTTCCATATGGTTGTCACAATAAACAGCGACTGTTTCCCTAAACAGCATTAACCGGTTGGGCTTTGTAGCGGAGACGTAATGTGTTTCCTGTGAGGTACGGACTGAATTATTGACTATAAGAAATTCAAGCTTCATAATAGAACAATCATCGCATCTTCTAACTGGCAAAATACCAAGACAAGCTGTTCATGTTGGACCCAAATAGTGATGCCTCATGGTAGCTCTACTGACAACTGCAAATGGACTACAGACAATTCCTGCTATTCTTATGCTTTAAAGAAGATTCTTTTTGCCTTTCGAATAGAAGTCTACGCAAAAGTTTATCCGTTATGCAGAAAATGATTTAAAATCAGTTAGTTCCTGGAAAAACCAAGGATTTTAAAAGACGCCCTCCGCCCGACAAGGTTTTGTTCTGTAGCCGAAGCAAGGGATTACGTTGCCAGTGACATGGCTCCGGTGGTTATCCGTCGACTTCTGGCCGTGTAGCATCCCATTCAGTCTCGAGGTACAAGATAAAGTTGTCCCTGTGCTTAACGAATTAAGCACTACGCCATGAAGACGTATGGGTGAGTGGATGTATAGATCCACATTTTCTTGACCTCGACACTAGTTAGATGTGAGTGGTGAGCTTCACGCCCCGGCCGCTTTACCCCTGGGAATGAACCCGCAGTACTAATTATTTGTGTAGGAGGCTGGGTGGGTCCATGGAGAAGTGAAAATCTTGCCCCCACCGGGACTCGAACTCCGACCCCTTCGTCGTTCAGACTTTAGCCAGTCGCTATCCCTGCTCTCGGGGGTGGTACATCTAATATTTGTGGTGGGAAGTGTATTAATACGACAGGTTTTACGTTCACCTCAGGTTTCGCCTGCAAATTGCCAGTAATGTATCACTGTACAGAGTCACATGCCATGAAACACTCACCTTCATAGTGACTGCCGTGGGAATTTCAAATTCCATTCCGTTCAGAGACATGTTAAGTGTTCATGTATTAGTACTGTCAATTAATCTTCAGATAATTATTTAGTGTGTGTTCCTTTTCAAGATCGCGGAAATGCGGCCTTGTTTACACTCGTACATTTCTTGTTTGGTGCCCGGGGGGGGGGAGTTATTCACCGAACACACACTGCTGGTGAGACCCGAACTTTCACAAGTCGGAGGGAACTCAATACGCCACTGAAGACCATGTATGTTTATCTTACGTGTTTCCTGGGGGATATAAATACAGGGACCTGGCCCTCCAGACTGGGGGAGTCTCGAAACTTGAGATATTGTCCAGAGGTCCGTGGGAATGATCGCGCTGACGAGGGCCATCAGCAATTGTAAACGACAGAACCATCCTCTCGTCAGAGAGGATGTTATGTAAGGAGTATGGCCGCAAGGGTTCAGTTACAAAAGAAATGCTGGTTGTGGGTCTCAAGGGTCTTTGCACCAAGACGAACTGACTCTATCTGACCGAATATAATTCAGCTTCATGTTCCGGCCGCTTTACCATCGGAGGGGAAGAGTCGCGGGATGGGTAACAAGGTGGGTGAGGCACTGCGAAGAATAGAAGAATCGATTGCCCCTACTCCGAATAGAATCCCGGTGTCTCGATCATCCGGTCCGTAACCTATTCACTCTGCAACTGAACAGTCTCTGCTGATAGGTTCGTGGTATGGAGGTGCAAAGCGCAGAAGTGGTTATCATTCTTAGCGCGTCAGAAATAAAAAATTTGTCGGATCACTACTCATTTCGGATGGACTTACTGCCTCCATCTTCATGGTAAAAGTGTGTCGGGCGAGATTCGAACTGAACACATCCCGAGTGCTATTCTGGAAGAATCTGTTTTCGTCTCAGTAAGTACTGAATCTGACATTCCTCTTCTTACGTTCACTGTGTAATTACCCAAAAAAAAACAAACTTTTTTTTATTGCTAGTGGGGTGGGACTAAGTCCCTTGTACTGCGGCCACTTCTGGCCTACTGTACCAGCCCCAGATGATTGGTGAGGGTGATTGTGGAGCAGTTGGTGGAATGAAGATTGGCAGGGGAAACCGAAGTACTTGGAGAAAACCTGCCCCAGTGCCACTTTGTCCACCACAAATCCCACTTGACCAGACCCGGGATCGAACCTGGGTCGCCGCGGTGGGAAGCCAGCGACTAACCGCTTGAGCTATGGCGCGGCCTTGAAACAACTTCGTTTTATGTTGAGATGACTCTTTCGACTCGTAACCAGTTTTGAAACTTTTTGTCTGATAGAAAAGAACATTTTGTGAGGACTGGATAGGAATTAGGCACGCAGGAAAGATGTTATGCAGTCAGACACAGACAACTTTAGTTCTGTCAGACTCTCATGTGAAGTTCAATTCTATGTTCTGGCTGATAAGAGCATCTAGTGTATTTATAGACGTAAGTTGGCACCCTTGAAATAACTAACACCCTTAAATCGCTGTCATGAGACCACGCATGCGTGTGTGGGCGATCAGGTTAGCTATCAGAACACAAGTAGTCGAGAGGTTTGGATGTAAGTAATGGATTTGTGCCTCGAAGCCAGTGACAGGAGCGTAGCTCTGTTTGAAACGTTCCCGACAAATATTCACGACGGTACACCCACGTTCTAGAAAACTGGGATCATAAGCGGATTTAGATGTTCTGCAAAAGTTTTGTTAGAATGTAGCAAAGAAGAATGAACTTTCTCTCTCTTCCCTCTTTACGTTCCGTCCGTTCTTACTTTATTTTTGTCAGAATCTCTTCTTCTTAAATTTCCCTTTATCATCCTTTCGTCTTTTCTTTCCTCTCATTTGTTTCTCATTCTATTCTTATCTTTTTCTCCTCACCTTCTTAATTCGACAATCTTTCTAATTCTCTCTCCAATCCCCTTCTTCCCTCTTTCTTATACTCGTTTCCTCCTTGATTTTTTCCCATTTTACCCATAATTTTTCTTTCCATTCTTATATTTTATCCTTGATCATTTTCTTTATGTCTATCTTCCTCAGTCTCTCTGTTTATATTTGTTCATTTATTTTCTTTCTCTCCTTTTGTCATGATTTACTTACCCCCTTCGTTTTCTTTTTCGTATTTCTTATCACTCCAATCTTCCTTACAGAGTCCGTATCTCGTTCTCTTCTTATCTCTCTTTCTTTCTTTACGTTTTATCCGTCTCCTCGTCATTCTCTAACAATCTTTCTTCCTCCGTTTTATTTCTTTTCTGACTGAGGTTTTTGTTATTTTCCCCAGCGTTTCTGGTTATTTGGAGGCACGCTGTAGCGTAGTTGCTTGAGGCATTATGTTACACGCCGGAAGGTTGTGAGTTCGAATCCTGATGAGGTCGTTGGATTTTTCAGTTGACCTAATCCTTCCAACCGCACTGTGGCCCTGGAGTCGACTCAGCGTCTAACAGAAATGAGTACCAGGAATATTACTGCTGTGAGCGAGTAAGCCTGACAGACTCACCA